AACGATATACTTGGCTCCACAACAAAATCTTAAAAGAGTTAGCAGACACTGTGGACCAAGCCAGGTTGAGGACCAAAGCGAGGGCCAGTCCTACCGTCACCCCTAATTGCTTCCTCGAGGCTGGGCATATTTGTAAAGGTAAAATCGACAAGGTCGTATACGCTCCATCAATACTTGACCGTGCTAGAGACTCGTTGTTGACCTGCCTGGTTTCAAAGGCTACCCAGAGTCAATCCGGAAGACAGACCTGAGACCCGACATAGCTCTACACTCTGCGGAAAAACACCAGCTAATCCGGATTGAGCTGACCGTACCGTACGAGTCGCAGATGGAAGAAAATCACATGTACAAGCTCGAAAAGTAAGGTGGGCTCGTGGCCAGTCTGAGAGGAGAAGAAGCGTGCGCAGTAAAAATCTTTGCCGTCGTGGTAAGCGCAAGAGTTTTTTCTTATCTCCGCTTCCATGTACAATGTGCTAAATCAGCTGGGCTTGCGAGGAAACGAGCATAAACGGTCACTAACACAACTGGGCGAAGCCGCTAAAAGAACTTCGAGCTGGCTCTCTGCCAAATTTCAAGTCCAACAACGGCAGCAAAGATGGATGGAAAGAAGGAAGGGGTTCGATGGGGGGGGGGGGGGGGAAGAAGATCGAGGACTAGAGTCATGACCCAGGTCGGGCCCACCTTCCGAGATTGTTTGAAGTTTGAAGTTTCAACACGGATCAACATAATGGCACACATATGTGCTGCGTTCTTTCTTCTAACTCAAGTCTAAGTCCAGGCTCTGTAGCACCGGCGAGGATCCTGAAATACTTTAGGTAGTTTTTTAACTCCAAATACTCTTTTCGATTTCCAAGTGCCAAGGGATGTTTTATTTGAGCAAAATGTACACGGGCGTCCGATCTCATTACTCCGAGACCAGTCGAAATACTAGTCCAAATTCAAGTGAAGCAATTCCAGCCCTTACCAGGGTTTAAACCCGGAACTTCTAGCACTCGAGGCGGACACCATGCCCCGAGACCACGCAGCCCCTTTCCCAGATTTTATAAGAAGTAATGGACCGATACAATCGTCACCGAGATATCTTTCTACTGACTCAAACATAGTGAATAGCAAGAAATACTTTTGAAAACATTGTTTTGCGTATGAATTTAAGTACATTATGCGGACGCAAACAACAGATTGCACAATCTTTTACTAAAAGCATTTCATTGTATCGCTGCAGGTGCCTTGCTACAGACTTTTATCAGCATAAAATAAAATACATAAACTGAATAGATTCCACTGAAACACAAATGGTCGCTCTCAGTGCGTCTTCTCCCTCTAATTTCCGGACGTTCACAATAACACGTGGCTTACCTGGGTAACCTCAGACTTATAATCAATTTTTTCTGTTTACGTAAGTGGAGTCTAAACTTACGCGCTGCGAGCAAGCTTCGTAATACCGGGCTGCTGGGTTCGATCCCAACTGCGGGCGATTTTTTTGCGTTGGGTTTGACAGTGGTACAGTAAGCTGCGCGTTAAGGGAGCAATGGCAAACTACTAAACGTATAATTTGCCTGGAAAAAATCGCAACAGCCAAACAATTGCTGGGGTTGGTTTTGCGACGTCCTGTAAAGGATACACAACTAACTTTTTTTTTTAACGCAAGCTAGGCTGTTCATTTTGATTGTCAAAGCTTTTACCAGTGGCAGGAATCGCCCTTTCGGTGAATGGTAAATCACATGGGAAGCATTTTCCTTATCAAATCAAGCAGATAACTGCCTAAAACAGAGGTGGAGTCTTGTTAAAGTGGATTTTTTTTTTGGCACTACAAAATATATAATATTTTTAGGCACACTTGGCTGGACACCCCCACTACTATAAAAAGATAGCCCCACAGGTTATGATAGTATACTATCATAGCCATGTTAATACAGATAGGCTTATTACTCACACAAACATCAGAGCTAGACAGTTAGAGTTGTGAAATAGGGACACCCAAGTCAGCTATGAAAATTTATGCATGTAATCAGTACAATATATACATAAAATAGTGAATAGATAAACAAAATCTCAGTAAATGGAGCTTAGGACACAATGGCACGACCCAGATATTGAAGCAGCCAGATTGCCTTGAGATGTACATGAGTTCTTCATCGGACTGATGATGTGCTGTGGGAAGAGAACATGATAATGAATAAGTGATCACTTAGCCCAGTTCGTAGGTCGATGCTCCCCTCAGTCCATGATGATTCGACTGTAGTTGACTCAGCTATCTATGCCTCTGGTTGATCTGGTACCGGTTGATTACCTCACCATCGAGGACACAGGAACTGCATAGGGACTCAACAAGTCTCTCTCACAGGTCAGGTCACAAAACTGCCTCAGAGCCCAACCAAGCTCCTGAAGACTGGTTCTCTAGATTGATGACACAAATGTCGGCAAATGTCCACTCGTCCTGGAGCTCACAAACACGCTCTTGCCATGTTGAGGTATTGGCACAAAGGGCAGGACTTCTGGTTATGCTTGGTGCATAGAATGGTATGGGTTGGTGGTTGTTGGCTGGACTGTGTTTCGTCTGCCTGATCTCTAAAGAGGTATCATCCCAAGCTTAGGAAATGTCCTAGACACCAAAGGCCGCCTCCTCAAAGCATAGATGTACGAGGCCCTATTTAGAACATCTGTTCTTCTAGGCAGTCATGCAGAGAATCCCCGCTTCAAACTACGCTTAGCGTCACTAGGAAAGAAGTTCCCTGTATTCATGAACAAGGAGTAATCTGGTTTACAGGAATTTCTAAATTATATACCAGTATTCGCCAACCCACAGTTGCAAGTTTGAAAATGAAGATTTATCAAAGCAACTGGAAGGTCTAGAAATTAATATTTTACCAGATAAAGGTATAGATCAATATAAGGGACTATATACCCTTCTGGACGGGTTCAAGTTTGAAATTTGACTATCCGCGTAGGGGACTTCAGAATCCCGACTCGTCCATGGTGTAGGGTGGCTGCTCACCTCACGACACTGCACACATGTCTAATTGTCTCTTCAATTTGCACAATTGAAGACTTTCCTCTTTTCAGTCTGTCACCTTCAGCTCTATCCAGGGCTTCGTGCAGAAGGTCCCTCTTGTCCCCAGCTACTTTGAGATATGACTTTGCTTGCAGAACTGTGAGCCTATCTGCAATAGTAGACAGTGCAAGTATATATCTCACACTACCGAGGTATCTCTTGTATATTCCAGAATTACTCGTATGACTTCTTTCTGTATGTGATCAATTTTCATCAGCTGACTCTTTGATATGGTGAGCTTTCCAAGTCCATAATCTATCACCGACAGGATCAAATGCTGAAAAATTTTAAACATCATTCTTTGTACCATGTTCATTACTGCCATAATCTTGAAAGCATTGAGCCTTTTTTGGCATTATACCCAACTGGCCTCCATGTAATCCCTAGAGGACAGGCTTTTATCGAAAGTAATATCCATGTACCTCAGTTGGCTTTCTCTGTTATTATTGTTGTCATTAACTGTGAGGTTTGGGACATTAGCTTTTACAATTCTTTTGTCCAGAGACCACCACAAAACTGTTGCCTTTTCTGAATTGTTGAGGGCACGCAGTCCAGTCAATCACTTTGATTACAGTTTCCTGTAGCTCTTGGGCTATCCGGTACCTTTCACTCCCCTGCCTATATGCAAATATTAACATTCTTTCAATACCTGGTGCTTCATGTTCTGCAATCTTGCGTGTATACACATTGAAGAGCCCTGGTGAGATTGCAGAACTATGGATTAATCCTGGGGCCATATTAAATGGTTCTGAGGTCCATGTACCAAGGCGAAGGGCAACCATCCTTGAAAGCAGGGCAGCTGCTATCCAGTTCACAAGACAGGGACAAACCCGTTTCTCTATGAGTGCAGATATCATAATATCATATCGGACTATATTGTATTCATCCTGAAGATCAAGTGCTGCCACAACCGGCTCTGGTCTGTTTTGGAACCCTTCATAAACATCAAAAGCAAAAGTAACGGCATTTGACAAGGCATCTTTCCATGGCCGGTAACTACCCAAACCTTTTGGTAGGAGCTCTTCCCTTTCCAAAAACATTGTAGTTTAACAGCAATAATCTTCTCTAGCACCTAGCCAAAAGTATGTTGTTGGGTGATAATCGTAAAACTGCTGAGTTTGGAATGATCTGTGCCTGGCTTAGGGAGTAGGATCAGGTAGCTATGTACCCCATCCTGGGGTATTGAAGCTGTTCTGATGCTCTGGTTGAAACAAAAAGACGTCTCCCTCAAGTCTTCATCACTCATTCTCTTCACGTGGGCATACGTGACTCCGTTTGGCTCCAGCGCAGTGTCTTTTGCTTTTTGCAATATATATTTTATATCCTACACCCTAATGGTATCTTTGAAATTATTATCATTTAGAGTACTGTACAGCTAGTCTCTAAATGCATTTTTAAGCTTCCTATCATTATGATCGGTTTGGGCTATAAATCTCTTTAAAAACCCTTCCCCTTCTTCTCTGTTGTCAGAGGCATCATTATCAGTGTATATAATCCCTGTTGTGATAGGCTGATCCTTCCTTTGCATTTATCTGTAACGTTTCTTAAACCTACTCAGTGATCTGTCCCCTCCAATTTCGCTAATACAAAATTTCCATTTGTGTGTATTTCTATATATATCTCTGTTTATAAGTATGTCTCTATGTATCTCTGTGTGTCACTCTGTTTGGCTCTCTTTGCCTGTCTCTTTGTCTGTCTTTCATTCTGTCTCTCTGTGTTTCTAATTTTGTCTTTCCATTACTCCCTGTCCCTCAGTCTCTTTCTATGTCTCCCTCGGTCTGCCTCACTCACTTTATTATTTTTTTTTTCTGTCAGTCTCTCTCGGTCTCTCCGTGTCTCTCGCTGTCCCTCTGCCCCTTCCCTCTCTCTTTTTGGACACATATGTTGAAAAACGTGTTACGCATTCACAGTTCACTGATTAAGTACTGATACATTTTTTCCCCTTTAGATAGAGGCGGCAGTTCAGTTCTGGAAAGAAGGGGGAGACAACAAAGCGGAGTACCTGGAGTTATGTCAGATGATAGACTCGTCAGTTGACTTCCTATGGGGAAAATGTGAAGAACTAGAAGGTAAGCTCTGGGACAAGTGCAATTTTCTTACAATTGCCTTTGTCATGTAGTGTTTATCTACACTTGGCCAAGACTACATCAAGATAAGAACTATAAACAATGCATATATAATTCGTATTTAGCTGTTTTAAATATGTCATTCCATTGTAAGTGTTTTTACAAATATATCATCTATGATTCACACAACTGGTTATGCTAGCAAACGTAATAGTAAATGTGGCCAATTCTGACATTTTAAGGTGTGTTTTCTCACACAGCTATTTGACTGAATCCCTACAGAATCCGTTAATTCAGTTATCTTACTATAGCGGGCAATGAAAGTGCGGATACTTTGGCTGGCACTGCCACTGTATTATAATAGAGCATACATTGTTAATGTAATAAGAGGTTGTGCCAGACCATATCGACGGGTATGTGTCTAATGATGTCATATATACACATATATATATATATATATATATATATATATATATATATATATATATATATATAGTCTCCAAATGCTGTTACGCCGAGGGCGGGGCTGAGGATAAGCTCTCAGTCTCCATGAAATACCCTCAAGGCATGCGTCTCTCTAAGCCTCTGACAGCAAAAGTCCAACTCCTTTCCTTCTCGTCGCGGAGATGTTTAAACAGGAGAAGGGGTTAAAGCGGGTCTCTGGCGCTTTAACCAGACGCTTCGGGTTGATGAGGCTCGTCAGTACGGGAGTGCAGCTCATCTAGGAGAAGGAAAACTCTGATTTCAAACCACGGGCAGATGAGGCTCGCCAGCACGGGAGTGCAGCTCATCTAGGAGAAGGTAAACTCTGACTACACACCTTCACTGCCTTGTGGCCATACCCATATTTTGGGAAAGCGCTTCGGGAGTAAACCCTGAGGAAAAATCCGGAGCTGGAATCTCTAAGGCGGTTTAGCATTGTATACAGTGCTATTCCGGCAATTCCTGCAACGTCCTCGGTGCCAAGTTGTACTGCTTTTGGCCTTTCCCTTGGTTTCACCGGCGACGTAGAGAGGGGGTACCTGCTGCCTGTGCAACAGTCTATACTCCAAATCAAAACGCCCTGGCCTGTGCCCTGGAGAGGTCACTCCAGCGATGCTTAACAGTTTCGACACAACACGGGAAACAGCAGTCACTGGTCATAAGCCTTTGCTCAATTGGCGTAGAGCTAGGCGCCAGGGGTTGTTTCCGACGGTGGGAGAGACCATCGTAGTCTCATTGGACAGCTACCGCCCGCCTCAGCTAGGCAGCCCCCAGTCAGTAAGGTGTTGTCTCGCCACCATCCGTTTGCCTTGATGGGTGCACAGGGCTTAGGGGATAACCCGACATACGGATTGTAATCCTTGTACCTACACAAAGAAGCCAAAAAATCAGATTCCCAGCTCTAGAGCTGGGCACATGGAACGTGAGGACCATGACACCTGGTATTCTGGACGATCTGCAGCATATGAGCGATGTAAGGAAAACTGCAGTCATTAACAATGAACTGTCCCGTTTGAACGTAGACATTGTTGCCCTACAGGAAACCCGGCTCTCCTCCTCAGGTAGCATCAAAGAGAAGGACTTCACATTCTTCTGGCAGGGAAAACCATCTTCGGAGACCATGGAACAAGGCGTAAGCTTTGCGATTAGGAACCGATTGTTTGGAACTGCCACACCACCTACAGGAGGATCAGAAAGGATCCTTAAAATTCAGGTCCAGACAAGAGCTGGACCAGTCACTCTGATAAGTGCCTATGCAGTAACCCTGCCCTCTTCTCCCGACTCCAAGGACAAATTTTACGAGGAACTCAGTTCCACACTCAGCGAAGTCCCGGACAGGGAAGCCCTATTCATTTTGGGTGACTTTAATGCAAGAGTGGGCGCTAAACACAGCTCATGGCCATCCTGTATGGGACATTTTGGCGTAGGAAAAATGAATGAAAATAGCAGTGGTACACCACGGAAAACCACTCCAGTGCGGGAAACATAGCTTACTCCTACACATCGTACATACCTATCGGCAGTACATGTAAATAAACAACGTCATCGTATTCACGCAAGTGCAGTTCAACTAAAGATCAGACTAGCGTCTACGGTATGACACACTAATAAACGTCATAAGCACGGACCGGCGTTATTAGCTTTGCACCAATGCATATTCTGACTGGGAATTCCCCAGTGCCGCAAATCTAGAAAGGAGCACAGGGATAGCGTCATTAGCAACGATCCTCACTACAGAAGATGATGACGTAGGTGCGCACCTAGACCCGATTCGGAGACGTCTTGCGCATAGGGCTAGTTCCGGGTGAACCATCTTCCTTCCGTCTCTTCAACTCTAAGCCGCCGTGAAACAATCACGATCTTCGGAGAATTGTAGTTTTTAACATCTGACACAATCTCGCGAGGTTAAGAGTGAATATCATTCAGAAAAGGGGCCCGGCTGTGTCACGAACCAACTACACAACAAAGTTCTGCCTTTTTTTAATTACTGTAAGCCACAGGATGGCAAGTTGTGATATGAACATTATAATTTTAAGGGCTTTGACCCATAATCACTGTTCCAAGCCTTGAGGGATGAATTCCCATTTGTGAGGAGAGACCAGACGGGAGACCGAAGCACCAAAGACTTCACCTAAAGATACATCAGGTGACTGTGTTGCCCCACGAGCCTGAATCTGCCATCCAAAGCTAACTCCTCACCGAAGAAGAAAACTGTAGTCTTAGCCAATCACCTACTAAAATTATACCTATTACAATGTATGATTGTCACCTGTTCACCCACCTCGTCTAGTTTTTGTATACTACGGTGAGATTGGGCTTGGAGAGAAAGAGTGTGAAAGATATCTTTCTCATCCTTTCCCTACGTATCTTTCTGGAGGCTCATATCTACTGACAGGAGGGTGTGCGACGGAATATCTAGACTAGCCTGAAGCTTTCTACATCCAGAGCTAGTCTTACCTTTCTGACTCCTGTCACATGACCACGTCACAGTCTCTTATACTACACGGGACCATCCCCCTAGTTTTCATAACTTCACGAGACAACATTTCTTGAGACTGCGGACGCTGGCATGCTGTTGGGAAGTCTTACTATTATAGACCACTCTAATCTATCTGCACTATCGTCACAAATGGGCAGAGGTTGCTTGATCTATGCTGTCTTCACAACCTCTGCATCACAAATACCTTTTTTGATCTGAATCCCCAGCACAAGGTCTCTTGGAGACATCCCAGATCTAAGCACTGGCACCAGCTTGACATCATCCTCACTAAACGCAGTCACTTTCATCTTGTTAAGGTCACTCGCAGCTATCACAGTGCAGATTGTGACACAGATCACTCCCTTGTGTGCAGCAAAGTGAAGTTAATCCCAAGCAGAATACATCGGGCAAAGAGGCCAGGACGGCCCCGCATTGACACAGGAGAAAGTCGTAATCCTGGAAAAGTAGGAGAATTTATAAAAATCCTGAGCACAGCTCTGCGCGGCCCACCAAACGCGGATGCTAGTGACAGATGGAAACATCATATATATATGTCAACAGAAATTTTAAAATTTTGTTTTCTTATTTTCTTCATTTACCTAGAATATGCATCCCAATAAATACATGTGACATAGCATTGGTATTTTAATCTATTTCTTTTAAAACCTAATATGATTTTAAATATTTCTTGTCGACGCATTGTGTATTCTTTTAATTCTTTTCACTGTGGAATTTGGGACATATTTGTCTTGTTACTGAATGTTGAGCTAAACTAAATAATTGATTAACTGTTTTAAACAAAATTATGATAATCCCACTAACTTCTGCGAGGCTCCATTCCATACAAACCGGTACGCCAAATCACTGACAGACATACAAGGGGTCAAAAACTGTTTTATTGTTTTCAAAATTGGCGAATCGGACATAGGATGCTAGATTTATGTATATATATTTATATATATATATATATATATATATATATATATATATATATATATATATATATATATATATATATATATATATATATATATATATATATATATATATATATATATATACATAAATCTAGCATCCTATATATATATATATATATATATATATATATATATATATATATATATATATATATTCATTCATTCATTCAGTAGCATGTCCCTCGCGGAACCTCGCTGCCATAACAACCCTCCGGAAAACCTTCCTATCCTGAGCAAGATGTCCTGCGTCTGATACACCCATCTGGAGATCATCTGCCACATCCTGCACCCATCTTCTCCTTGGCCTTCCTCTTACTCTCTTCCCAGGCATATACCCCTCCATTATTGTTCTCTCTAGACTTCCATGACGTTTCAAGTGACCAAAATATTTCAATTTTCTTTGTTTTATTGTCTTTACTAGCCAACCCTCTTCAATATTCAGCTCTTGAAGTATGGATGCATTTGTTCTTTTCTTTACCCAAGATATTCTTAGAACCTGTCTGTAACATTTATATTCAAATGCATTTATGCGCTGTTCCGCTTGTTTAGTGAGTGTCCAGGTCTCACAATCGTATGTTGCAATGGGAAAGATGCATGCTCTTAAAAATCTGACCTTTGTAATTCTATCTGTACAATTCCATAATTTATTCAGTTGTTTTAGTCTTTGAAGAGCAATTGATAGTCGCCGTTTAATTTCTTTCATTGTGTCACCATTGTTGGTAACCAGTGACCCAAGATATTCGAAATTTTCCACTACTTCCAATCTTTCCTCATTAACATATATTTCCTTCTCCATGGCAGTTTTGTTTGTATGCATTATCTTTGTTTTTGCTATGTTAAGAAATAAGTTATGATTTTCACTATTTCTTTGGAGTGAGGTTAATAAGTTTTCTAAACCATTTTGTGATGTTGATAGTAATACTGTATCATCAGCATAACGAATTTCTGGTATTTCATGACCACCGATGTTTAGGGCATCATATTGTTCCTTGTTTATATCATCTCTTACATTTCTCATTATATTTTCGGCGTACAGGTTGAACAAATACGGTGACAGCACACATCCCTGACGGACTCCTTGCTTGATGCCAAACCAGTCTGATGTCTCTCCATCTATTCTGACTGCTGCTTGTTGGTCTTGATAGAGCATTTTAATGAGCTGCACTATATGTGATAAAAAGCCCATATTCCTCATGATTTCCCTAAGCTTCTGATGTTGTACACAGTCAAATGCTTTTGAATAATCCACAAAACATAAGAACAGATTTACATTAAATTCTCTACACTTCTCTATTATTAAACGCATGTTGAATATATGATCTCTTGTTCCTCTTCCCTGTCTAAATCCAGCCTGAGCTACATTAATCTCTTCTTCCATTTTCTTATGCAGTCTTCTCATTATTTTTAGTAGAATTTTACTTGCATGACTGATCAGGGCAATAGTTCGATAGTTTGTACATAATTTCAGGTCACCCTTTTTTGGTATTGGAATGAAGATAGTTCTCTTCCAGTCTTTTGGCCAAATACCATATTTCCATATCTTTTCACATAATGCATGATAGATTTTTATGCTTTCTTCTCCTCCCGCTTTAATCAGTTCAGCTGGTATCTCATCACATCCAGGTGATTTACCATTTTTCAGGCTCCTTATTGCCCATGATATTTCATCTAATGAAGGTTCAGGTTCTGCCTCTACTGTTACTGGTTCATGTATATCATTCATATCCTCACTGTCATTCATATCATACATTCCGCTGCAGTATTCCTGCCATCTTTCTAGAATTTGTCTAGATTATATATATATATATATATATATATATATATAGATATATATATATATATATATATATATATATATATATATATATATATATATATATATATAATTATTGTTTTATCTATAAATGTATATACATATGTATATATTGTTTTTGTAATCGAACTGCCACTAGGCGGGTGATGCGGTCAATATCACAATGACAACCTTTATTTTCAAAGATTTTACCTAGCAACTATTTTACTATGCATTGAGCAATTAGCTTTGATCAATGTAACAAACAAAAAAATCCAGCTCCTTGCAAATTCGAACCTCGTACCATCGCTAGCTCTCACATGCATATTTACAAGGTCTTAAATATAGATTTACAATAACTCAAATACACACAAGGACTCAAATACAGATGTGCAATGACTAGAATACACACACTTTTTAGTTATCAAATACAGTTGTAAAATGTCTCAAATACACACATACAATTTCTCAAATACGCATACAATGACTCAGATACACATATATAAGTTCTCAAATACAGATGTACATGACGCAGATACACACCTATGCATTGTACACTGACTCAAATACGTACACACCTACAACTTCTCAAATGCAGAATTACAATGACTGAAATACACACTAACAAGTTCTCAAATACAGATGTAAACTGACTCAAAAAGAGAACTGAGAGCCCACTTGTAGACGATGCGACTCCAATTTGGATCTTGTCTCGACCTGTTGATGAGTTGCGAAGTGGCTTGGCAAATCTGAATCAACCTCTGACTGGTGCAGATCCTCTATGATTCCAGCAGGTGTAGTTTGTGTTGGTTATCTAGAAATTGTTTTAAAATAACGTAAAGTTTTTTCCCATAATGAGGTGGTGGATTATGCATCAAGTCTACGCATACAAAAATAAAAGCGAATACATGTAACAAATTTTCACTTTCAAAATCCATTCGCGGGAAATTGTCAAGAGCAGATGGAGTACATAAATACCTATTGTAAACATTAAAATTAACAAACTTACCCACACACCAATATATATATATATATATTTACAGCTTGAGTAATACATACTTCTGAATTCAAGACCATGTTTACCAAATTTGGAAATTGTGGTGATATACAATTTGATCGATATGAGACTGAAAAGTGAAGTTCTTTTATATCATATTACAGTGATCTTTGAGATTATAGTTCTTAATTGCCTGTTTTCTCTATTCTTTGACAGAGGGTAAATTAGCTGTTACAGATAATCATCTCTCACAGGCATCTTGCGATCAGCTTGATATGACCTTTCAGTCAGCTACACCAACACGGAACAGACAACCAGCGGAGCCTGTTCTACCTACAGGTTGGTGCTGGGTGTTTGATAGAGCTACCTATGGATAGTCACATTATTCTAGACATTTAATAATTTTCCAAATAATGTGCTAGATGAATACCCTGGGGTCGCAATTTTTTTTAAATCAGTTTTTACTCTTTTTGAGGAGTAATCTAGGTGGCATGACAATCTTACATGAGCTGTGCCTCTAAACACTAAGAAATGTGAGTGTCACAGCTGAAGCTGTCTATATAAACTAGTTCAATACACTGTGACATGGACAAAATTTAATTATATAGGTGATAGATTTCTCAATGCTCAGTCTGCGAAAGCTCAGGTGGTTGGGTCATATTTGGAAACTGGTGGATGGCATAGTCCCTAAGGACATCTTCTAAAGTGAATTACAGATGGATAGAAGAGGTCGCAGCCGACATCTGCTACGATATGGACCATGTTATGTGGTGGAAAAAAAGAGGGCAGGGGCACATCAGAAATGACAATAAAAAAAAAAAACTATTGCAGAAAGGATGAGATTTGAGCGTCCTTGAAGAAACATACTAAACACAAATGTTGACAACAATGGCATTGAAATCCCATGCTATAACTGTGGACACAGTTTCTCAATGCAGGCGGGTCTTGCGAGCCATACTTGTCATCGCCATAGGCTATGTGTCCCATGCTACCTCAAAGGGCAATATCGTCTGGAACTACGGACAAACGCCAACAACAACAACAACAACAACAACAACACTCTGATGTCATGAGAGTTGGACTCTTTGGATAAAGACTAGTGTAGTGAACTTTAAATGCCAATACATGACTTTCCTAATTGTGCATTATGATGAGATGGTATTTAAATCAGCCGGTGGCGGGAGGTTTATTTGATAGTGATTGATTGTGTCCTTTTCCTGTCCAACGAAGCTGTTGACTTTTTTAATTTTAAATCAATTTTATCGAGTGTTAAAATGGGTCTGTATACAAAGCTGTGTGGTTTCTGTATTATGCGTATTTAATATACAGGCGTCTGCGGTGTGCGTATTGTGTTCAGTGTTCTTTATATTTGTTGCCGTGTGTGAGAGTATCGGTGTTGCAAGTGTATGCGTAAACAATATAAACAATATAAACCTTTGTACACGGACATTAGGCATAAGGAGGAGATTGTGAAACAGTTGGTGAATTGAAGATTGGATTCTTTGCAGACAGTTAGGTCTGAAATAACGTAGTAAGAAAAATAGGAGTAGAAGGATAAGAGAATGGGAGCGAGAGAGAGAAGGAGAGAGAAGGGAGAAATTGAGCATAAAACATATATTATATATACCTCCATACTGCTAAGTTTACATTCCGCCTTGAATAAAGTGGTGGGGTCGAGGTGAGGATTTGGAGGATCAAGTCTTGGTATCGGAAGAGAGTTGTGTGTTAAGGTCTAGGACTATCTTGGACGACCTCTAGCAGGAAGAGATCTTGGAAATTTTCCAAGTGTTGACTTTAGACAGCATGATCTTTAGCCATTACTGGGAGCGAGGGGTGGGAGTGGAATGGGGTTAGACATGATCCCCTCCTGGTGAGAAGATTAGTCTCTGGTCCCTGTGGTGTAGATTGTCTTTACAATTGGGTTGTGGCATGTTTAAATGAAGAGGTCTTACCGTTGTGTCTGTACTCCATCGGTCCAACAATATCTTTTTCTGTTGGTAAGGATAAGATAGGAATAAAATTACGTCAGTAATATATTTTATCGTAATGTATTATTATACTGTTTGATTTTATGTACAGGTGAAACCCAGCTGAAGCCGGTTTTTGCAAGAATTGCTGCCATAGAAGACTCTCTGTGCTCCTTTCTGAGCAATGCAGAGCAGGTTGCTCAACAGCAAAGTGGCATTGATCAACAACTGAAGGAAATATTGTCGAAACTGTCAGACAATCAGCCAAGCTCAAAGTGTAAAAAAGTAGATCAAGTAAATGAGATTAGCGACACACGAGTTCCGTTACACCAAGGACATGAGACAAGATTACAGAGCCTCGAGAAACAGCTGCAGGAGTTATCTACGGCACAAGATAGATTGAGGGTAGAAATGGAATCTCAAGCAGAACTGACGGAGAAACTTGCTCACGTGCCTGGACAGCTGGTGGCTATGAAAGAAAACATTGATGTATTAGAGGCGAGAATTTGTAGAAATATGGATAACTGTAGCAACAATCATCAGGATATAGCGAATTTCACTCATGACCTGGCAGACAAGGTCAGAGCTAACACAGATACAGTCCAGGACATATCAGAGTGCCAAGATCAGAAAATGACCTCTCTAAGACAATTTGAGAAAAGGATGAAAACAATGGAAACAGACAGTTGGAGAAGTGTGAAAGAAATTCAGCAACAGGTTAAGAAATGGAAGTCAAATGTGAGTATGAGCTCGTCAATAGAAATTGTTTTTACCAATTATTAAATTGACCCTGAAAGTGCTCTTTTTCATGTAATGGTGTATTTGTTGTTTCTGTCTTTTTTTTCTTCTTCTATCTTCTAGTCACTGGCTATGCTATATTATATATACAGCATTGCTGCTGGGATGTAGTTCATTTTATTCTTGCACTTCTATAAGTTTAAATTTACCCACGTCTGTCAGTGCAGTTCTCTGTAAGCCGAACTATGACCGGCTGCAGCTGACGGGTCGTGGTGCTGACGTCACCTGGTCGGGCTAACGATGCATTAACTGCCGGGGTGGGGGGAGGGGTGGGGGGGGGGCAGCAAGAGATCTCAGGAACAAGTCTTTCTGGTGGCCTGGTATAAAGTACTGTGCGGTGTCTCTGATATTTCTGAGGTCCATATTCAATGTGGTCGACCTCTGGATCTCATACCGCTGTATCCATAAAACATTTCTTTGTTTAGTGCCCTGTCTGATAGTTACATAGCCAAACCATGTGATTTGTTGTATACCAATCAATGTCAGTATTGGTACTGTTTCTACTCTCTTCGTGATATCATTCGTTCCTAACCCAATCTATCCTCGCTACACCATTTTAGTACGTAAACATTTTATTTCTGTCGTAACTATTTTGTCTTTATGATCAGCTAATGACAAATATAAGAAAAGGAACGAGCGATGAACAGTTTATCACACTGCACAACAAGCAAGCAAGAGACAGACATCCAAAGGTAGACGAAAAAATCTTTTGAAATTAGTGTAAAATTAACTTTGCAAAACGTGGACAATCAAATTAACAGGTAGACAGACTTGTCACGAAAGACGACACAGTCCCGACTAGATAGAGCCAGTTGCCTTGGATGGAATCTGCATAGAGGAAACCAGCTTGATTCAAGTCTGTAGTTTAAACAACGGATCCACATCATGGCACACAGGTAGTAACCCACAAGTGCTCATTTCTTTCTTATAACTCAAGTCTGAGTCTAAAGAAGCTCAGCACAGTGTACAGGCTCTGTAGCACCTGCGAGGATCCTGAAATTCGTTTAGGCAGATTTTTAATTCCAAATGTTGCCCGGGCAGCGCCGTTAGGCGACTCTTTTCGATTTACAACAGTCAAGGTATTTTTTTTTTACGCACACGTGCCTCCGATCTCACTACTCTTATGTCCAAGTCCATGTGAAAAAATACAAGCTCTTACCGGGGATTGAACCCAGAACCTCTAGCACTTGAGGTGGTCACCATGTCTCGAGACAGCTTGATAAGTTACTCGATGTAGTCTATGCCAAATGGTGCCAGGTATGCTCCTCTTGAGGTGAACACGGAAATACTCGTATATAGGTATAAACAAAGTGGAACAACAGAACAGGATGGAAATAAAATCGGCAAACTTTAATGTGACTGCATAAGATTGACTTCTTCGTGTGGGTCCTGGGGCCCTATTGCAGGAAAAACAAGAACAGACCCACTCCCTTCTTAGTAAGTGTTCTATAGGATTCGACTAATTATAGGCTTCCTCCGAAGTCGGAGTGCATTTGCCTGAGTGGCAATGACTAACTAACTACACACCAGTAAGCCAGTACAATTGAAGTACGTGCCAAATGCAGGCCTTGAACCAAATCCAAAGCCCAACGAGGACATTTTTTTATGATCTGTCATCCGGTAAACAAAGAACAAGCATAAGACTAACTGACTGATGGTATACACGTGTACATGCAATACAGTTACTGTGTTGTAAACTTTCAGTTCCGGATCCTGTGCCAGATGGTAGACGACCGAATGACACCACTTGAACAACTCAGAATTTGTCTTAATCATAGGGTCATCACGAGAGATGCAAATATCCAGACGGTAAGTGTTTTAAATTTATGACACGTTAGACTGTTGTTGCGGCAAGGTTAAGGATGTAGAGATCGTTGAAACAATATATGACAGTCTCACCAGAATCTGATTTTAAAATAAGTCTATGCAAATTCTTGTGAAATAGCCGCACAGCGTGGTTATGGATACGATTCTCTTGAGGGGAACAAGGAAGTAGAAGCAAAACTAAAGTGAGAAACAGAAAATGCACCTGATAAAATAAGCCGACTCCCTCTTTCACCAGGAAGATAGAAGGTTGTGCTTCTTGCTCTTCTGGCTAAATCGACTTTAAACCATCGTGCAGTTGTAGAGTTTCTCTGATGTTATCGCCCCATCTTGTTTTTGGTCTACCTTGTGCTCTACGTCTCGCCCCTCATTTAGTGTACACCTTGTATGATGAACATTCTCTTTGAGTGCTTTTTGTAATTTAACATTGGTTAGTATTCTATTGCTATAGTTATGTTTAGCTTTTTTCTTCCAATTGACATTACAATGATATTTTATTTTTATCCTTGATTCTCACATTATTGTTTCACATTCATAATTCATGTATGTGAGTTGTGGCTAAAGTTTTATGGCTGTATCTGTTTTAAAGGTCTGGTGAAGCACAAATGTCAGTTCGTTTATATTACTGATATTTTCCTTTCTGGGTTTGACATCTTTCCTTATACTGTTGATGAAGGTGATCATAGGCATCCTTGTCTTACTCCAGATGTTAAAGGAAATAATCGTAATGTTCCCTTGGCTGAGGTAGTCCCTCCATAACTAGCACCTGTGCAGGTTTGCCACAGCATGTCCAACGTGTTGGATGCAGGCTTTTTTGAGAGGTATTGCTACCTTTGAAAAATATAACATAATATAATATAATATAATATAATATAATATAATATAATATAATATAATATAATATAATATAATATAATATAATATAATATAATATAATATAATATAATATAATATAATATAATATAATATAATATAATATAATATAATATAATATAATATAATATAATATAATATAATATAATTTTATATAATATGTTACCGTTACAGCTGTCCCAGATTACCCAGACGGTAGCACTTATGTCCCAGAGATTACAAAACTTAGGTAACTCTCACTTTGTTTACAGTTATTCCTTCAATGTTTTTTGTTTTTTGTTGTTGCTGTTGTTGTTCAGGTGTCTGTGCAAGTGTAAACATTGGTAATCATAATCTCCACTACCGTTCTTTTCATTGATCTAAAAGTGTTGACCTAACCTCCCTCACCTGGATCTCCACACCTTGTCATACGGGAGTAAGGAAAATGAGCGAGCTGACCAGCTGGCAAGTATTGTACTAAGGCATGTAGGAAGAAGCATGGACAGAGCAGATATCGTCAACGCTGTACGGACTGGGCTAATGGATAATGAGGAATCCCTAACACTGACACGTTTGCGTGACACAGGAGTAAAGCATGGTGAAGCACGTCTATGCCGTCTTTGGGACCGCGATAGGAGAAAAACATAACCAGCTTCTCATGGGAACAATTAGTAGAAGTACTTTGGAGTGGCTGTGGCATCGGAGGACTGAGCACGCATGGGAATGCCTAATGTGCAGTGACGTCGATTGTGATAACATAACAAAACATAATAGTATTGATATTATTATTTATTGACCCGATGTGTCAACTCTAAACATACATCTGGCTCTCCTATATGATAATAGCAGACTATGAAACATTATAACTGTCAAAGGCTAACTAAAATAATGTTAAAGGAAGACAGTGTGAGAATATTATCTTCAGCTTTTCATTATTTAATTAAACTAAAATATGAGATCACCAGTTAAGACATTATGTTGGATGAGTTCATTTGAGTAAGAGACCGACAACTCGGTACATTTCCGTAAGCGCTCCGTCCCAATCTACAACAGCCAGCATAGAGCTATAATTCAAATAGTAAAAGTAAGTCTGTATGTTCACGTACATTTCCTCCGAGTAGTGAACATCGACCAGATTCCCAGTGCACTAACTGCTTCTCACTGAGACGATCGAATTGTGTGTCCGCAATTTTGACTCGCCCATATCTAGTGTGTCATGCATCAGTGTACTTAATCCAAAACCAGACAGTTTGTTTCTCAAAACACCTGCATCCCTTGGAAATAATATACAAAGCACATCGAACTGACGGCATCTATGAAGCTATGCTTGCCAGTCTGCACAGACTTGTTTCCAACATTCTGTGAGTCTGTTACAGTCATGACATGTGTGTGCAGCTGATACTCAAGCCATCTAAAGTCTGAAATGATTCCCTCCACCTCCATTCCCCAATGTGATGCTGCGATATCATATTCTGTGTTTTGTTGCACAAATGTTCTTCCGTTTGCATTTGCTTATATCCCAAGAAATATTATGTCGGAAATCGCAAGAAATAAAGTAGGTTAGCCCGAGAAATTAAAACAAACACAGAAAATCAAATGATTTGTCAACTTGAAGAGAATGCCTTCTGATGCTGTACCATACAATGCATATACCAGAAGAGGTTAAGGACGTAGATCAAGATGTAGACCAAGAACAAGATGGGAAGATAACATCAGAGAAACTCTAAAGCACTACAATGTGTCTTTGTTCGAAGCAGCCAGAGGAGCAGGAAGCAGGACTTTATATCTCCCTCGTCGCCCAAAGCGGTAAAATAGGACGTAAAGAAGAAGCAGAAGAAAATTATGTTGTATAACATGTGAAGAAAACAGGTGTTAAAATAACTTTTATTGTTTCGTTCACAGAGCTGCAACCTTCCAGAATTAGATGTGGGTTTAGTGCTGCGACATCTTTCTGGAGAGTCACTGAAGACATTATCAGACCATACAACAAACTGTACTCCAATGTTGGTGGAAACTTTAATGCAGACAGCGGAATATTTACAGCTCCAGTTGATGGACTCTATGTGGCGTCATTCTCTTTATATCTCTTCGACAACGAGAGACTGAAAGTTAGTGTCAGTTACAACCAGCAAGGTTCAGATCAAAGTTCAAGCACACCAGTGTGTTGGAGTATAGCTGCAGTACAAGACACAACAGCTTGCCGTGTGGGAGTTGTTTATATGAAAGCTGGCGACACCTTGTTTTCAACTGTACAATGTTTCGAA